ATCTTGTATTCACATAAGGTTCCTATCTCAGATACATCCTTCGGTAAATGCCTTGAATCACATGCCTCCTTTAACTTGGCAACCCCTTTGGGATGAACAGGCAAGTGCATGAAGCAGAGATGCCGCACCATTCTCAGAAAAATGCAAATTGGGAAGTTGTTAGTTATTTGATGTTGCTGCACGATCCCCCCCGCCCCCGAAACATCCCTCCACTCCAGTGTTGGTGGTTGAATTGCATGCAGTCCTGGGGACAGGCAGGGCTGTTTATATGCAGGCCTGGAGCAGCAAAGACAGCACAGAGACAGATGCATGTCAGAGATAGCAGATCCCATCTCAGGCAGATGCCTCTTATCACAGGCCTGTTTGCATAATTAGGCCTTTTGATATTCACCCCCTCTGACTGACAAAAAGTATAATTGCAGTATCAACTACGACAAAAGGTAGGCACAAAATAAACAAGTCAACATAAATAGGGAGAAAAGATGCGGTGTTATTTTTGTCCTGTGGGAAAAAAAGAGGGAGGAAAAAACACCATTTTTAACTAAATCTGCTGTCAGTCACAGTCAACTGGTGTGACTCGGTGCTCAGAGGCTGGTCCTGTGAATGCCTGCAAAACACAGAGCGTGAGGCCTGATTGTAATTATGCTGGAACTAATATGCTTTTCAAAATGAGCCATTATGAGCTAATGCTGCACTGCCAAAGCTCTGTCTGTTTTTGTCCCTCTGTCTTGGATAGTTTGCAAAGGTATGGCTGATATTGAGGCCATGGGTTATGATATCAGAGGCAGCTTGACTAGGATGAGTACCACTTTACTTTAAGCTAATACTGCTCACAGGTGAGATGAAGGATTAAAATACTTTACACCTGCACCACTGCAAAAGCAGGATTTGCAGGGTTTTTTTATTAAAGTTCCTCAAGAAAAAACATATACAATATTCATTTTTTACTTCATCTTTCACAAAATGTTGCTGAAGGTTTTTATTTTTTGCTTTTTTGTATTCTGTTTGTATTCCAAGCATATCTTGCTGTTTTTTGTTTGTTTTTTTGTGTGGTTTTTTTTTACAGCTTTGGTTTTATATTTTCAGAATAGAGCCTCCTTTTCATTGTTGTTATACTTAATTTTTTATATAAAGGTATCAACATAAGAAGGGATAACACAGTTTTCAGAGAATGAATACAACAGAATACAACAGTTTTCTTCATGCTGATGACAGTAATCGCTTACTTTAGGGCCCTACTTGTTGTTTTTCATTCAAAACTACCTCACAGTATTGGATGTCTGGATGTAGTGTTTTCAACAACCTGGTAGACATGAAGTTTATTGCTGTTGTTATGCACCATAAATCTGTAACCCTACAGATCACTTGGTTAATTGCCGGTATTGAATGGACAGCTGCCTGTTAAATCAGCATTACCTCAGCGTCTCGGGGGTAAACGTGAAGGACTGGAGGAGTCCGAAGGGTTGAAGGGAGAAGAGAAGGAGGGCTGGAGGAGAAGGTGGAAGGGGGGGGGAGTCGATATCGAGGAGGGGTTTGAGGAAACAGGGTGATGATGAGGATCCCATCTGCCTGTAGTCTGAGGAGTCTGTCTGCGAGGTCAGCAATGGAGCATCAGGGGAGAGAGCAGGCTTTAAACCTCAGAGTAACCTTCAAACTATTAACTAGCAGCTCAAGTCTTTCAAAAGTAAGAACGCTGCTTTATCTAAAAGGTCTGGTCAGAATTAAAACATCACTAAAGCAAAGTCAAACCAGGGTGAAAGGACGTCATGTGGATCTCCACATCTGTGGTGTTCATCTTCAGTGCAGAATCCCCCACGTTAATTTGTTAATCACTGCAAAATTTTACTTAAATTATAAAATAACACCTGAAACAGTACTCAATAGCGGAGAGACAGAATAATCACACTGGAGATTTGACAAAATAATGTACACTTAAAGCAGACTGAAAACCTTTGAGTCTTCAGCGAGTTGTTGATGTACACTATTCTCCCACAATGCAATGCACAAAGGAAATGGGGGAGGAAAAAGAAAGTTTATCACAGCTGGAAGACACTTAAAAAAAAATTTGCTTTGTCTTTGTAAGGCTTTATTGGAAGGTGAATTATAAAGTTGTAATTTGATTGGCGTCTGACTGCGTAAGCACTGCAAACCTGTATACTACAACAGTTACTTTATAGTTTATATAGTATACAGTTCGTATGTACCGTGCATTCAGGGCGAAACTGTTATCTTAGTTAGCAGAGATTAGCATCAGCCCTTGAAGGTGATCACCCTTTAAAACAGTTGCATTAAAGGTCAGTGATTTATCCTCTTCAATTCCTGTATTGAAGTCATCTCTTTCATAAGTCATGACATTCATTACAATTCAGGTTAAGGTAGTTTTTACTGAAACAATAGCTGGTGTTATCTTCAATCTTAATCAAGCACTTACCTAGACAAAGCAATGTGTAAACCTGCTTAATTCTTATTTATCATGGGCACAATTTTAAATCAATATCAGTGCAAAACCTCAGAGGGCCCCTGGAGGAGAGAACACGGCAGTAATCATGCCCACTGGATGGCACATAATTAGATTCTAATTGGATGATAACTAATGAGACAAGGCATGAGTGGGTTTATCAATATCCCATGAACCTTTGAATGGAAATTACAGCTGTCATATTATGCAAAGGCCCTAATCAGAGTGTACCTTTTTGTGCCGATCGGACCATTGAGGGACTGACCTCGACAGCCCTGCGGGGATTTTGTTTGCACATTTGCTTATTTTGTCCCTGATTGTTAACATTTGGAACATGAGTGAGAGGGAAAACAGCTGCCTGAAATTGTGGGGGTTTTTTTGTCCAGAAAACAGACTGAAAAGTGGTTGTTTTGCTGCTTGTGCGTACTGACATGTACTCAGACCTGTTTCTGCTGTCTATGGAGGGACTAGTCCTTTATTGTAACACTGCTATATATTAACCAGGAATCTGTCAGGCACTGTCTTACATGGCAGCCATGTGTTTTTAGATGTTTTCTATCTTCTACTCACCAAATGTAGTCAGCATATAGATGAGTTTTACATCCAACCCCATTCCCAGTTGGCCTCATGCAGCGTGTGCCATTTTCCATTTTCTCTCACTCATTACAGGCAGGGCTGTTGACCTTGTGCTTCTGGTTCATGTACAAGAGCAGATGTGTTGGCTCTGTGGGGCTTAATTGAGAGCAGCAGTACAAGCCATTGTCTGTTGAGGTTTATCAGTCATTAGCCTGATAGCATGCTAAATGTGACACAGATTGCCACAGCGGTTTACTTGCAAAATAAAGTCTGTGAAAGCACCTCAAACAAAGGAGAGGAAATGAAAATAATTTGAGGAGGAGAAGACTTCAGTGTCTTTCTCAGGGCCCCTTGAGTATGAAGCCGATTCTGGCCCCCACGTCTCCCTGTAGGACACAGAGGTGACTTTGGAAAGTGATCTGTACACTGCTGGGCTGGTCTCAAGTGTCGTCATGGCAAGTTACTGGGCAAATGGATATACGCATCCTCATGAAAACCAACAAAGGGATATGCGGTGTATGTACATATTCAACTTTGTATGTTCAAGGGTGTTCTGCAGCGGAGTGAGCTTGTGCTTCAAGAATCAATCTTTATTAAAAAGGATAAGACTGAAGAATTGATTTAATGAATGCGGCCTCATGTCCTGCGGCCACATGTAATCCACAGAGAATCATTGAGCATGAGCTCAGGGGGACAAAAAATGTTCGTAGAAGACTCATGGAGTGGCCTGTAATGATAGTCTCCATATAATCCCATAATTCCTTGTTTAATTAAACTCTGGAGCTGGCCTTGAGACTCCGCCAGCTCTGTTGCTCTTTTGTTCTCACAGTTGTTATTTGGAGGCTAGGTTTGAGTATTCTTTTGTCCACTTATGTTGAAAGATTTGACTGGAGTGAGCTTTAAACAGACATCAGAGCGGTAAAACAACGAATTAGACGGCAGGAACTCACTCAGGCGAGACATTCAGGTGAGCATTATAGTTTTCATTTGAGCTGAATAGCAAAGGGCCACTGTCAGAAGCAGAAATCTCTTCATACACCCTCTTCTTCAATATCTCCCTTTATTTTCCCTCTCCCACACTTTCTGGACTGTGCATGATGCAATCCAACTAGGCCTGGAGCAACACTGGCACATCACGCCGCCTTGTCAATGTCTCAATGAGGAAATTATGAAAATGTGAATTTTATGACATGAAATGAAAAGGGCCATGTAGTTTGAATAGACATGCAGAGGAGGTGAAAATGATGCAATTTTCTAAATTCAGTTATAACGGTAATGTGCAATGGTAATGCGTATTTGCTGTCAAAAATTTCCCTGTCGGCCTGGATTGTACAGCTTTGTGCTGTATCTATATTCCTCGAGCAAAAATTCAGCTTAGTTGAATGCCTAAAAAGTAATGTAAAATATGTTCTAATTCATTTAATGACAGCAGATGGAAACACATGGGACTGAATGGTTTCGGTGTGATATTGTGTTCTATTTTATACACTTTGGCTGCGCTGTGTATGAGCAGTGTGCCCTGGGCCAATGAGAGAGAAAAGCAGGGTGAGGAGCAGCAAGGTGGCCTGTGCAGATTAACCCCTCTACCCACGAACACCCCCACTCCCCCTCAGCCCTCTGCCTTCACAGCCTCTGGGGCCCCTTTCAGAGGCAGGATTGTGTATCAGGGCCTCTTCTATATTAAATAAATATCCACAGATTAAGATAATATTCTCCCAGTTGTATACTGAGAGAGGAGAAGCTGTCATTTGAATCCTCTATGTTGCCAGTCCCTCGCTCTTCAACAACAAAAGAGACTCCAAAATGCAGATAATGCTGTTAGAGCTAGTTTATGATCAGTTTCAGTTCACATTTGATGCTATTTTCTACAAACACCCCTCAGTTAATTCACACAAAAGACTCCTTAACTTGTTTTCATTCCATGATCACACACAGATGGCCCTCTGTCCCTTTCTTCTCACCTCAGGTAACCGCACAGATGATGGTTCAGATGTAGATTCGGAGCCTGACTTGCCCCTGAAGAGGAAGCAGAGGCGCAGTCGCACCACCTTCACTGCTGAGCAGCTGGAGGAGCTGGAGAAGGCTTTTGAAAGGACACATTACCCAGACATCTACACCAGAGAGGAGCTGGCTCAGAGGACAAAACTCACAGAGGCGAGAGTACAGGTCAGAAACACAGAAGAGTGCTAGGAAACACAGATGGATGAGTACACACATTGTTCTGTAACAGACCTGCATGAAAACACATTTTCTGACTTGCCTCTTGTGGGACCCTGCCAGGCAGAAAGTTTTTTCTTAGTTTGTTCATGTTTATAGATGAAAAATGAAAAATTAGGGACAAAGGGAGGATTTGATATTTAAAAATTAAAAAATTTAAATAGCAACATGGTTTTCCAGAGGCTGAACTTAATGCTCTGGAACATCTGAATATTCAGTTTTTATTGGAACTACTATAAGATCTGTGGAATATGTGGAGTAACTGGGACAGTGATCTAAAAAACCGCCAATACATTTTTTTTCCCTTCAATTTTGTAAACACCACTAACAAAATTACATTTACCTCCATAAATCTCAGAGTTGAATATCTCAGAATGCAGACAAAACTATCCACATCCCTAGACACTGCTAGAGGTAAGTGAGGAAATATTTCGTAATACTTTGGTTGTACCAATCCTTTAAACACATGTGTAATTGGACATTAGCTTTGCAAACTTTAAAGACTCCACCTGTCAACATCAATGGGCCGTAGTAGCTCAGTCCTGAGAATCACCGAGACAAATATCTGGCTTCTAATGTAGCATGCGGCTTGTTGTAGAGGCTCACACACTATTACACTTTGTCCAGGCCTCACGGGGCTCCGCGCTACATGAACAGCACATACTGTAATTCCCCTAAACACCTCTAAAAAGCATGACACCTGACTGAACTCACACTCACTCGGTGTTCCTTGTGAAAATAATAGTATTGCTCCTCTTTTACCTACAGAAATGATATATCCATCTGTCAGGAAGATGTTAACCCTTCTTTCCATATTGCGCGGTGCATATAAGGCAGTTTGCTGCTTACCGTTAGCCTTTATGTTTGAGTGCTTTGACAGGGATACTCCCCATCTTCACACCTCAGTCCCAGGAATCTGTCTGACAGCCTGGGTGCCCCTGCGGCCGTACGTAAGATTGAAGGAAGCTATGTACAGTAGAGTTACAGCAACAGCTGTTCCTCCAAAGACTGAGAGAGGGAGAAAAAAAAGAGAAGAAGAGAGAAAGGGAATGCATTCCTGATGGATTTCTCATTTCGGCCTTTGGCCAGGATCTCATCCCATCACTTTCAAGCTTGCCGCTGCTTGTAAAACCCTCCACATATCACACAGGGTTCCTCATCCTCTCTAGGGAACCTATGCCCCGACAACAACATTAATCAATCAACTGCTTGTAAAAAAAAAAAAAAAAAAAAAAAAGCTCTGGGGCACCGCTCTCCTCTTACCACAGTCGTTCACACTCCCTCTGAACCCCCACAAACTCCTCACCGCATGCTAACTGTTCATCACACTACAAACATGCAGTTGGGGTAACTGATTCCACACATGTCTTTGTCCATCTTGAAGCCCCCCAACACGCAAGGATGTCCTATATGTCTGAGTGTTTAATGCCTCACTCAAGGGAGGAGAAATTTATCTCTTGTCTGTTATATGGCAATTTATTAGTTTTTTTTGTGTGAGTGTGTGTGTTTGCATAAGAGGGAAATGTGGACAAGAGGTGGGAGAACTGAAAGCTACATCAATAATCTGTATGGAAAATCAACTCAAACACATTCTGATAATATTCATTTAGAAGTAAATTCAATATTCCATTTTGCAGATTGAGTTCCAACTTTCCTAATATGGTTTAATTTAGCTGCACAATTGCACAAACCAAATTTTTTGATGGTAAATGCCATATACAAATGCATCATTCTAGTGCAATTCATAGTCATCATAGAGGACAGTAACACTTGATGTTGAAAGAATAATCCATGCCTGTATTAGCTGGCATGTAGGCCTATTTATGGAGACGTACAAAAATATCTGAACATGAAAGCAAGAGAAGAAAGAAAAACATGGAGTGACTGCTGTCTCTTTGCTGTTAGATAATAGACTTAAATGATGTCATGTGAAAACCTGAGGAATTTGAGTCATGGCTATAATTTGTTAATGCTGTTTTCTTCATAATCTAATTCTTAAAGGCTTTGAACGTCTCAAAAGGTCAAGTCAAACTTAATTTTCTGAGAAGGTTACAAAGAAATAGGCGCTGGTAGCCAAAATAAATAATGCCCAAAGCTGCGCTGCAGTTTGGTGAGCGTGTTTGTGAGAGGATATGGGTCTGCAGCTGTGAGTTAATGAGTCTTATAGATAGATGTGTCAAAGCATTTCTCAAAAATGTATTGCAAGTTCTTAAACTACTGAAATATCTGGAAAACATTTCAACATTTAACCCTCTTAATGTACATTTAGATAATAAAGATAAACGAAATGTGGAAATTTTTTGTTTAAATGTGAATTTTCTGGTGTGTGCATGTGTGTGTCGTTTGTATCACAGCGTTCTGAAAATGTCCACCAGCTGGACTTTCACATAGGTGCCCAAATGGCCCATCACAGGGCAGGAGAGAAGAGACCCTTTGGCCTGAGAGCAAAGCTTCTCCAGCACAGCTGCAATGACGCATCTTCCAGATGTCGCTCAGAGACTAATCGGTGTTTGGGGCTGAGAAAGAAACTATGGGCAGGGGGTGTTGGAGGGGTCTCACACACTCATATTTTAGCTTGAATTTGTGTCCACGGTCATGGTTCACTGCTACCCGTTTGTCATTAAACATGGTGATAATGTGGAAAGTCGTTTTTCTTTTTTTCAGGTTGGGTGCAGAGGTAAAGTGCACTGGTGGGGTGCAAACATGGCTGCAGTGGCTCTCAACCGTCACAGCCCAGAGCTGTGTTGTAAATTAAACTGCTAGATTCTTGTGGAAGTGATGAGTGTTTGGCTTAGCGCTGACTCACAACCTAAACTCATAAACAGAGCTAACTCCCTTGTGTGTGCCCTCGCCTGCCATTTTAAGACCCTTTCACCATCCATCTTTATCAGCCCCACTGCCCCTTTCAGCAGAGCTACCAGCGCTCCTTCACCAGCACGAGCCTCGCAATGGTTTTATCACCCCAACTGACAAATTGTGGGATATGATCCATATCTCTCAGCAATTAGTTCCAGGCTGTCTCAGTGGGAGGGGATACTGCCAAGTCTACCTTCAGTATATGCTCTGCTGATGCAGTGTGCGCTGCCACTTTCCATCTGATAGCCCCTCAGTTTTAACAGGAGCAGGCGGCAAAGCCATTCCATGAGCTATTAGAGAAGAGAGCAGCATTTGTGTCCGCTCCCTCTGAGGAGTGGACCAGGTGGGGGTAGCACTGAGGAGAAAGGGAGGGGGGTGGGGGGGCGTGCGGGGGTATGTGCAGGCAATAGGCAGCAGACCGCTGTAAATCAACGATCACAGAAGAAGCAAATTACATTCTCGTCTATTTAGACTGAAGTTTTTAAAGAGTCGGACTCCTGAGTCTCGGCTGAGGCTCATCATGCCGCCGCCAGCTCGCTTTACCACATCTGTCACATAGATCCTCTTTCATTACCAATAAACATTCTGCATGTAGCTATTATAGTTAGTGGAATCTAATAAGGTATAAGCATTGCTTTTTACAAAGCGTGCAAATCAATTTGGTTAAAAGTTTCTCTCTTTATCTGTGGCTTGTGCTGGCGTGTTGATGTATGGGATGAGCACAGGAAAAACACCTATGTGGAGTCTGAACTGGCCGTCATAGTTTTCTGCAAAAGACCAGTACAGCCAAATTCACACTCATGCTGGTGCTTTTAAACCAGTTTTCAACTTAGCTAGTAAAAATATAATCCCATAGGGAGATATCAAGAGGTAATACACAGTTTCCCGATTGTTAAAATATCAGTCAAGTACCAGCGGCAAGAGAGAAAATCACAATGGAGCTGAGTGGTGACAACCAAACCCAACAGGCAACTGTATTCCCGCCAGTATGGGTTTATGTTTCATAAAGGAATAAATAGGATTTGTGTAGATTGTAGGGGAGAAATTGTTGCAATGCATCAGTGTGAATGTTCTAACAGTTTCTTATTATTAGAATTTAAATGACTTTGGTACAGTGCTTCTGTACTCCTGATACTTATCAAGCTAATCCCACTCTCCTCTCAAATTCACACTCCTAGCTACTTTAATTAGCATAGTGCCAGTCTGGAAGGCAAGCAGGGAGGGAATCAGAGAGAGAGAGAGAGAGAGAGAGAGAGAGAGGGGAAAGAAGAGGGGAAGGAGAGAGGAGAAGGAGGAGGTGTGAAGGAGGGAGGGAGGATGGGGGGGGGTATTGCGTGGTATGAGACAGAGGAGGATTTGTATGTTGAGGCTGGTTGCATCACCCCTCTGTGTTTTTGTGGATATGAAGTCAGCAGCACATTTTGTTTTGTCATTATCTCGGCTCTCGGTATTCATCTACCGAATGTTGCAAATTGGCTCCTGAAAGGCGTCACACATTCAGTACTTGTCTTTGACAAAATAATTCATGGAGGATTGTCTGAACGGGGAATTCTGAAATATAAGTGATCCTATTTAAGAGAAGCAACATAGAGAGGTTTTTACTGCAGTGCAGTGTCACGCGTTTACAATGTTTGGAGCGTGTATTATCACTGATCAGCGATAAGAAAAAGGCAAAATGCCTCTAGATCGCTAGGAATCGATTCTTTTGGCTGAGAGTGAATGGGAGATTAACAACAATGAACCGATGCAAGCAGCCAAACTTGAACTGGAGACTAAAATGTGTCACTGTACTGAATTGTACTGAATGTTGTGGTTGCAGGTTTGTTATCCGATTGCAGGTTTGAGGTTTGCATCTAAACCCTCTTCTGGTTGTGCTGTAGAGCAACCTTCACCCTTTGTCCTCCTCCAGCTGTGTCTTCCTTCAAGTCTTCCTCTTTTGTTTCACAAGCAGGAGCTAAGCTTGACTTCTAAGATGGGTTACTGCTCTTCTATCCCCCATTCCCTCCCAAAACTTTCTCCACAATGATTCAGAGATGCGGTGCAGATGCGTCCAAGTGCACTGGATGCGGGGAAGCCTTTTAGTCCGTGACAACGAGACAGAAGTGAGCCACATGAATTCGGCTGCACATTTGTAGGTAGAGAGGGAGACATGGAGGAGCGCTGCAGCTCTCTGTGCTGCAGAGAATTAAACCGGATTGTGGGGAAAGCAGAGGAGAATCTGTGGTCCAAGGTGACTTTGTGATCAGGTTCCAGAGCGGAGCCTCAAATCCTCAGCTTCAGGCTGTGTGTGAGTTTGTGTGAGAGCGCACGTGTTTATGTGCAAGTGTGTGCTCGCAATGTATGCATGTTTGTGATGGCGTATGGGCACTTGTGCGCATGTGTGTCGCCACTTGTGCACATGTTTATCCCAGTCTGTGCTGACAGCCTGATGATTGTTGGAGAAAGCACTCAGTCGGTGACACATGCTCCTCTCTTGTCCCATTTATACAGTATATACAGCGTTAAAGTTGACACATTGCATCTGCATTTGTGCACAATAACTCAGTAGAGCTGCTTTAAGTAGATTTAGTGTATTCACATAGCCTGTTCAAAGACTAAGAAGTTCTGCCAGTTCCTGTAAATTAGGAGAATTTGAAGGGATGGAAGAGATTGTCTCAAATAAATTTTAACAGCAAATACGTTTTGCAAGAAACAAAACAAAACGTTGGTACTCAAGGTATCAGCCGAACGCTGAATGAAAACTTGTTTAATTTGTCTTCCCTGCAGTGTCTGCTTGTAGACACTAAAACATGATTTAACTTATTTATAGTTATGCTTAGCCACTCACAGCACTTGGTCATCGTGGTATTGATTTAATACTGAAACTTTGTTTTGCCTAAATCTAACCTCAGATGAGACAGGTTTTGGTCCCGTGTCTCTGGTGTCCTGTGCCCATAACCCTCCCAACAACTTTCATGCTACCGAAAAACTACCACTTCCTTCACTGGAAAAAAGGGTTGCTAGAGAACATAATTCAATCACCAATTTCCTCACAAAAATGTAATTTGCAAAACATTTTAGTGGTATAAAAACTTTTCAAAGAGGCAGTGTCAGATCAGAAGGGAAACATCTTTCCAGTAGTTTTACAATTACTGGCTGAAAGAAGTGACGCACTGACAGCTGAGGGACACATTTTTGGTCTTTCCTGGTCTCACCCAAGACTTTTTCAAATTTCAATTGCATGAAGGTGAAAATAAGCTCAATAATTATGATGGATTTTATTAGCAAAAATATCCAAATTTACATTAAATCTACAGTGAGAAGCACCATTACTTTTGCAAAGGAAATGCCTGGTAAAGCAGCTACAAATGAATATATGTACTGAGAGCAAAAATAAAAAAAAAACGACTTCCCCGTTTAAGTGTTTTGTGTCTGCCATGATGGAACACCTCCTTCCTAAGCTTGGATGACAAAGGGGGAAGGAAGTGAAAGTGAACATAAAAGAAGGGTGGGGTGAGTGGATGAGGTCGGAGGTGAAGTGGCACTGTGGGGTGGGGTGAGGGGGAGTGTGTGGAAGGAAGGGGTGTGCCCCCCGTGCCCCCTCCCCTGGGCCAGGCAGCTGTTTGTCTGGCCCAGTAGGAGCTTAGTTCAGACCTTGGACCACGCTCCACTACATCCCAATAGCAGAAATTTCACTGGAGCCACACACCACATTTGTTTTGGAATATCTGATTGAGCGACTCAGACGGGGTCTTTAGAGGCGATTGGGCTTGAGATAAAATTTTCCTGTTGGTTTTCCAGTTGCATAATTGAGGTTCGCCAGACACAGTCGTCGCCTGTTGCATCCCATTTTCTTTCTAGGAAGCTCTCACAACTAAACCTAACTATAAGCAAAAAAAAATCACTGGGTCTTTTGCAGAGGCAGTGACTGTGTGGGAAAAGAACCACATTCAAATTAAGATCTCTGTTGGGCTGAGATCCCTTGTAGGCCTATACGAGTTTATATGTATGTTTGTGTGTACAAAAAAAGAGGCAGCCCCCGAAAAGCAGTGAGTATGTCGCTGTGTAAGTCCCCTTGAAAGTGTCCCTCTTTAAGACCTGTTTAAAAGGGACGCCCCCTCTTTGTGCCCACTGTTCTCCGTGGCGTATGGAGGGGCTTTTGTCCCCCTCTTTCATGTGTTCTCACAATAGCCCGGGCCGTTTGAAACACAACAGTAGATGAACTGCGCTGACAGTGTATTAAACTCTGATGAATTGCCTGTGCGAGGCATAGATCAATGTCCTTCAACCCTTAGCACACAGTGAAGCCTGGGCCTTGTCTTGGTTAAATGGAACAGGTTGCTGGCTCTTTTCAAAAGGCCCTGATTATATTCGTGTTTTGTTGAAGCAGAAGCCTTTTTAAAATGTGTAAATCTTTGCGGTTCAAAAGAGTCCTATTTTTCCCCCTTTCATTCAGGCAATTGACATTGTGTGTCTGCGCTTTAGTGCTGCTCATTTTGCGAGCATTTTGCTGTTTGCAGCCTTAGAATTCTGTGTCTCGACTCTAAAGTTAAAACACTTTCTTCAAACTGACTTTTAAAGCTTTAAAACAACCACATTAAAGCAGCACGGTTGTAACATAACAGTTGATGTTTCTCTGTATCTCCAGAGAAGTGATGGCCTCTCTCAAAGCCTCTAATAGTTTCACAAACATAGCTTAGGTGTGTGATGTGGAGACTGGTGGCCTACCTCTGACCTTTAAATGACTTCTTCCCTCTGAAGGAGGCTTAGGGCAGCCTGTTTACACAGATCACAGCTTCAACCACTTAAGAACAACAGGGACAGACCACTGAGCTCTCTATGGCAGCTCCCACAGGGACTGCTGACTCTCAGCTACCACCAGCACCACCACTCACATTAACCGGCAGATTAATCACAGGTGGCAGGAGCCAGCCGACTCTGCAGAGGGTCCTCTGCAGTCAAATGCTCACTGCACAAGCATAAATTGAGTTTTAGTGAATGCAAGATAAAACAAAACCAATTTGAAACCTGCAGGAGTTCAACATTCAAAGCTGAAAATGAGTTTAAAAAAAAAAAACAACAAAGAATTTCAACTGTGAAATTGTGTGTTTTATAAGACTTTAATTTCTTCTGTAGGTGTGGTTCAGCAACAGACGAGCTCGGTGGCGTAAACAGGCCGGGGCCAATCAACTAGCGGCCTTCAACCACCTGCTTCCTGGAGGATTCCCACCTACAGGCATGCCAACTTTACCCACATACCAGCTACCGGAGTCCAGCTACCCCAGCACCACGCTATCGCAGGGTAAGGCGACACAAAAGAGTTCCATCTGAAACATACAGTATGCTCCGAGTTTAATCTAATTTTAGTAGATCACATTAGTGCTGTTTATTTGGGGTATGACATCCATATGTTCATGTTAATAACATTCTAATTATATATGAAGCGTTTGCTGCACATAAGAACCATACAGCAAGTAATTATCTTTACAATCACAGCTTTGTCACAGTGGGACAGAAACAAGCCTTCACTTCATATGTGTCCTTTGCAACACCTTTAATGTATAAACATGACTATAAATTGGTAAAAGAATTTGAGGGAAGGACATTTAATGGTTGACTTCTGACCTCCTGAACTTACATTTGTCTCCTGTTTTTATTTCTAAGCACATTTTCTTGGATTTGTTCTTACCTGTGCACTTTTTGTGTTGTTTTTTTTTTCGCTGTCAGAGGGCAGCAGTACATTGCACAGACCCCAGCCCCTGCCTCCATCCTCCATGCACCAGGGAGGTCTGAGTGCTGACAGCAGCTCTGCTTATGGCCTGTCGTCCAATCGCCACAGCTTCTCCAGCTACTCTGATACTTTCATGAGCCCTTCAGCATCCAGCAACCACATGAACCCTGTTGGCAACGGGCTCTCCCCACAGGTCAGTCCACATTACCACATCTATTCCCCTATAGGTAGTGTTCACATTCTTCCTCCTCCACCTCCTCCTCCTCCTCCTCTCACTGTTCAGAATATGTAATTGTATTTGACTGAAATTAAAATTCTGAAACAGCATGTTCAGCAAAATAACTGCCAGTGTGGGCTTTTATGTTCGCCTTCCAAAGCCCTGGATTTATTCTAGCTATTCTAAATTGCTACATTTGTAAAACAATTGGATTAACATCAACAAATTAAAATTCATCTTGATAGTACCGCAAGTACTCAAGCTGCTCCAAACAGCGGTTTTTCGACTTTCCTGGGACATCTAAATCCTTGCGCTGTGCAGTGAGAACACATGCAGATGAAATAATTAGCTAAAGCTTATAAATGTAGACCCATAATCTTCTTCACGTAATTGTCTGCAGCTGGAAGACTCCAGTGCTATGTGTGATTTTCTTCTTGTCTTCACTGTATGATTTCCAGGCAGCTCAATGTACAGAATGACGAGGGTGTTGCGTTTTTTCCGCTCCTGCTGGTCACTTCACCTGCTCTCATACACTCCTTCTTAGGTTCCTAGATTTCCTAATTCTTGTTTAAATCTGTGCAAGACCCAAAAATATCTATGATCTCTGTGCCATCTTAATGTGTGATACTGTATGTGCAGGTTTGTGCGCTCCGTTTACTGCTAAGCACTAGATTTCACATGTTAACCTCTTTGGACACCTCCCTTAATGAGCATTTAAATGCGACTTTATGGTAAGGGTGAGCTTTAAGTAGCACAGAATGAAAAATGATTTGTATTGATGCACATCATGTGTACGGAGTGAATTATACACAATTACCCATCAATACTGGCCAGTCTTGCCCACCCTCACCAACAAGATGTGGTTAACAGGCAGAAAATAAGATTGAAATGGTGTGTAAAGAGTTGAAAATGAATTTCAATGCTGCATTTGTCCACAATTACCCCGTCGTTCACACGTGTTTTATTGGGAGTTTTTTTTTTTTTTTTCTTCAAATATTTCTCAAAGCAGATTGGAAACATTCTTGGTATTACCCTCTTTCTTCAGAGAAGAAAGAATTAAGGATTTTGTGACAAAAAAGAGATTTTCTCTCCTGCTGGAGCGACGGAGGATAACATGGAGGCTCACAGCGTGTTTGATTGTTAATCGTGGCACAGGGGCTTTAACTGCTAATGCTCTCACTGCAAACCTGCACAAAAACACCAGGAACATGGAGTCGTTTTTTTTTTTTTTTTTTTCATTAATGGCTCTCTCTAATACTGGCATGGGGTGCACTGTCGCTTTCTTTCCCTCTCTGCACAGGCATTCAAGAATGTGTTGGGATATTAAACATTTCCTGTCATAGTGAGGATTAGAACAGGAGCCTTTGGGCAACTGTACAGCATGGATTTTCAGTATTCAATTACTCTATCAAGTGGGTTTGATGAAAGTCTTTATCGAAACCCACCTGAAATGCAGTTTATTATTTTTTTAAGTCATTTATTTATTTTCATTTATTTTTATTTTTATTTTTTTTTATTTTTTTTGTGGGGGGCACATGCATGTGGTGTGGATGTTTTGATGTGTCACACCATGTTTGCACTGCACAGAATTGAAATGTATTGAATGCATGCAGAATGCTGTGTGGCATTCCTATCAGTCTCTCAGCATGGAGATGAATGTTCCCACTGACAGCAGAATCAGAGTTCACTCTGTGGTGCAGGGTCCTGCTGGGCTGGGCAGCCTCTCTATCTCCTTCTCTCCATCTCTCTCTCTCTCTCTCTCCCTCTCTCTGTCACTTCACAAACATGCAGCTATCCACAACACAGGAAACTTACACAATAAGCATTCACTTCACCTTGTCCAGGCCAGACCTTGCTTTGTCTTTGCTTGCATTTAAACACATTTTTACTCAAACAGCGAATCAGTTTCAACTTTGGAAAATTATCAAAACACATTCGACACCTTGCAGTTTATTTTTTTATGATTTACAGCATGTTTTTCCCTCTCCTGTTTTCCCTCCACTGTAATGTGAAAAAAAAGGAACACAAACAGACTCTCTATCGAGATGGAAATGAGAATTTGATATTGTAAGTTACAGACAGCATCTGTTTGCAGGAGATATGCTTGTGCATTGGTATGTGTGAGCGATTTCTTCAAGTGTCTGGCATTGATGGCCTAGCGGTTGCTGTAAAGATTGACAAAAATTCTCTGATTCCCAGTAAATGGGCTGTGGTGGCGAGGTGCCAAGTCTGTAATGGAATCCTGCAGCGTTCAGCAGTCCCGACAGGAGCTCGCGTCCATCCCAATCCCATAACCTATCCCGACAGCACACATTTTCCCATTACAGGCGGTGGAAAAGCTATCCACTCTCAAACTGGTTGCTGTCATTGTGGGATGTACAGCGTGTTTGGCTGGTTGAGGGAGTGCAGTGTATTAGAGGTGGTGAGACTGAAGCTGTGCATGGCTGGGCAAAAGGTATGAAACCAGAAGTGTGTTTTGTTGTTGGTCTTGTTTCATTTAGTGGCACAGCAGGTGTTAGAAAGAAGGAAAGGCAAGGGCACGGAGGACAGGCATTCCAGTATTTTTTCAGCCATCTTCACCTGAGGATTTAAGCTGATGTCTGCCTTTTTCATTTTGGTATATTTCATTTTTCATATTTCACTTGAAATAGGCCCGTGTTTTCACCCCTATGTCACGATGCTTCAAATTTGAATCTTGCAAAACAAATAAAAAATATTTGTTTTGGACAGACAGCAATGTTTTCACTGAAGAGGTCTTTGCGCTTTGACAGCCAAGACACAGTCATCTCTCAGGAACATTGTATATTTTGATATATGAAGCTGAAAAGAGCATTTTAGATACTTTTCAAATGATTCTTTGAAGCGGTGTTCATGTACATGGCATTTGTGGGGAGACATTTGGGCTGAATTCCTCATTACTGCATGACAGGGACACCTGCTGGGAGAGGAAAGAAAACAACTGAACTGCACTGGAGAGCTGAAGCCATAGCAAGAGGAGCTCAGTGGCAGAGCTTGGGTTTCACTCCTCAGAGAAATTTCTAGAAATGACAACAGGGAATAAAAAGAACAAAAAGCATTTCTCTCGCCGGCCGAATTTGGGAAATGCACTGTTGAATGCATGCAGTGATGTTGTACGGTGTCTGCAGATGATTCAACATGATAGAAACAGCTGGAAGTCAGTGAACTCTATAGGTATGGTGGATAGAGAGATTTTATTGCCGTTTTTGATGAAGGAAGTTCGCAAAGTTTTGTGAGGAACTTTTTTTCTGTTTTGCAGTTTTATGAAAGTGTTGTGTGTTTTGGAATGACAAGGATGTGTGTGTGTGTATGTGTATCTGAGGAGGGCCTTTGGGCTGTGTGAGTGGGCTGGGCGCCTACACACACACACACACACACACACACACACACGTACACGGGATCAGAGGCAGAGCGGCTCTCACCCCTGCCTCCCTTTGATCTGTGTCCCCAGGCCTGCCTGCCCGCGCGGCGCTGCACCGTACCACGCACGCTGACACCATGCTCACCAGCGACTCCCCACAACTGTCTGAGAGAGATAAGCCAGGGGAGACTCCAAACTGTGCTGCTGCTCTTCCATTAGCTAGCGCAGACGCTTCTTTTAAAAACGGGATGAATTATTTTTAAGAAGCAAGCTCTGCTGTTTCCAAAAAAAAAAAAAAAAAAAAAAAAAAAATGGAGAGGGGAAAATGTACGGAACAATCTGGAGCTCTGGCTTCATTCCGCCTCCCTCCCTGACTTCTAACAAGACATTCTGCACCTGAATACCAATGAGAGGGGGAGATTCATGTAGTCCCCCACATTATTAAAACTTGGGCATTAAGCCTCTCACCGGGCACTGTGTCAGCTGGCAGGCTCCACTGACAACAAATCAAAGGGGATGAGCACATAGCCTGCATTCATAGCTCAGCCACTCGCAGTGCAAGAGGGGGAATACATACTGGTTAATTAGAACTCCCATTAAAACAAATACTGTTTCAATTTGGCAAGTATAAAAAAAGATGTAAGAGGCTTTCAGAAAAAAGAGACCTGCTGTTGGCAGCTGCCAAGAAAATCCAGGGACTGTAAATCATATCCACTGGCTATACTGTTTCTGAACAGATTATTAGTGTTTGCTGTTGTTTTGCAACACTTTTGAACTCTGAGGAAAGATTCTCCATCTGTGGCACCAGAAATGAACCTCTGCACACACCGTGGTTGTTGTGTTGCGTCGGCCTTCCTCCTCCATATGCTCATGCATCTTGGTTTGTCTCTGCAGTTTGCAGACAGTTATATTCCTGCGAAGCTTTTATGATGATGTAACTAACAGCACTTATTTTTTTCAGTCTAAACTCGAAACCTTGTGCCACTTGTAGAGCAGCATCGTGGTCATAGCTGCCGCTTTACAGACCTCAATTTGCAAGTAGCTGAGACAGTGCTGCAGTTTGCTACCCTTCTTTATACCTGAGCCATTTGTTGCTCGCTTCATCTTTTAGGTCTCTCGAGCACCCATGTGAAGCCATTTTCCTTTTCATTCCAAAATATTTTTGGTCGGAGCTTTGTGTATTCATCATCTATTTTTCACCTACCAACCTTCCTTCCCTCCATTTGGCTTTTTGTCATCCCATGATGCCTTGCCAATAGTGCTTTGCTCTCTCTCTGTCTCTCTCTCTCTTTCTCTCTCCCCACCTTCCTCTCCTGCTCCAACTCTCTCCCCTGGAGAGGCAGCTCTTCTCCCTACGCCCAGATGAAAGGCTATGGCGGACAATAAAAATGCTATTTAAATGCAAGGGTGTTTGTGTGCGGGTGAGAGATATTTCCTGCTGAAAGTGAGCTGCTGCATCCTGATAAATAGTAAATATAAGGGAATGTGATTTACATTTATCTTGCAGAGGCAGCCAATATGAATTTCAGTAAATCCTAGAAGATGGGGATTTAAGGAGGAAAATGACTGAGACTGATTCACATGCTGTGTGTCCCAC